GTCACATCATTTCTCCTTTACACAAATACCTCTGAAAAACAACTTGCTTTTGTGTTTTTCCCCCCTGATTTTTAAATCCTGTTTCTGCACGGGATTTAAGCAATTTGCCTCCGTGTGATAAAGTCCTAGGACTCTGGGAGACCAGGGTTCTCAGCCCATTCAGCCATAGGTGACATTGGACAGCTCACACTCAGTCAGGTTCAGAGGAAGGTCCTCTGAAGAAATCTTGCCAAGATCTTAGTGAACCATAAGCTGAACATGAGTCAGCAATGTGATGCAGCAGCTAAAAAAGCCAATATGATCCTAACTTGCATCAGTAGGAGTGTATTGTCTAAATCGAGGGAAGCAACAGGGCCACTGGAGGGCTGGAACTTTTCATTCTGCTTTGGTCTCTTTAAATATTGTTTCCTGGGCACCACAAAACAAGATGGATGTCGAGAAGCTGTAGCATGTCTAGAGGAGGGCAACCCAACTGGTGAAAGTCTTGAAACCATGCCCTATGAAGAGCAGCTTAGGGAGTTGCAAACATGTTTAGCCTGGGGAAGAGAAGCTTGAGAGGTAACATGCTAGCCATGTTTAAATATTTGAAGGGATGTCATATTGAGGATGGAGGAAGCTTGTTTTCAGCTGTGCCAGAGACTAGGATACAGGGCTGTGGATGTAAACTACAAGAAAAGAGATTCCACGTAAACATTAGGAAGAACTTCATGATGGTAAGAGGTGCTCAACGGAGGAAAACGCTGCTTCAGAGTATAGTGGAGTCTCCCTTGGAGGTTTTTAAACCGAGGCTGGATGGCTGTCTGTTGGGAGTGCTTTGATTATGTATTCCTGCATGGCAGAATGGGGTTGGATTGGATGGCCCTTGGGGTGTCCTCCAACTCCATGATTTTATGAAAACCCTAGGATAGGGTTGCCATAAATCAGAGTTGACTTGAAGGCACATCACACCACCACATTACAAATGCAGGAGCTCTGTTGTCTCTTGCATGTGGCAACCCTACCCAGGATATGCAGAGAAAAAATTAAAAATAAACCTACACAAAGAGGGCAACCTCAGAGGATGGCAAATGGCAACCCCCCCCCCAAAGAAACTTGCCAAGAAAACCTTGTGACAGGTTTGCCTTAAGCTGCAAAACTACTTGAAGGCAAACAACAACAACAACAGAAATGGAACATCCCTGTTTATCACCAAATCTGCTAAATTTTTAAGTGTCATCAGGCTGTTTTTGTTAATATGAGATGTTGACAGAAGTCAGACACCTTTAAGTTTATAGTTGTTGTTTCGGGAAGCCTGATTTGCGGGGGATCTGTTTCGGATCCCCCCCGTGAAAATGGCGGCTCGCTGAAATTCGAGCCCCATTGAAACTAATGGCATGTGCGCCCGTGGTGCGTGCGCGGAGCTGCACACAGGCGCACACGGCCATTTAAAATATTTCAGTTGTCCTTCCCCGCAAAGAACAAGACCACAGATCTCAAGTCCATGAATGAGGAGGGACAAATGTAAATAAATAAATAGTTGCCACCTTTTTCCCCCCTAAGAAAGCTTTTTTGCTTTACTGGCATGGCAGAGAGAATTTCTGCTGGCTTGATTTATCTGAGAGAGTTTTACTTCACTTGGCTTTCTCCTTAAGGAATGTGGTTCTCCTAACGTTGTTGTGCTACAACTTCCACCAACCCATGCTAGCATAACCAGTGGCCAGGATGGGGGCAATTGTAGCCAAACAAAATCTAGAAAGTCGCCAGGATTTCTGCCCTTGATTGATTTGTGGAACCACTGGTGTTCACATCAATAGCCAGACTGCAGCCTGGAGGGATTGCATTGCCTTTTAAAAGTTGTGATCTTCCTTGGTTGAATGATCATGTCAAGATGAAGAAGACGTGTAATATCTCCCTGGTTGTATAATTGCCTGTTGTTGTGTTTCTAGGTCCTGCCCCAGGCCTTTAATAACAGGTTTGATCTGCAAATGTCCATTTTGTGTGTTGGGGGGAACCCTTCCCTGGTGAAAAGCAATAGCTGCCTCTTATAGGATGCAACATTCTCTTTACTCAAAGGACATCTCACTTCCTGCTCTAATACATTG